GCCTCAGGGGCCTGACTAACCTGTGGACTGACTTCACTGGAGTCTGATGCTTATCACGGATGCCATCACCTGTGTCTAGGAACGGTCCCCCCCCCCCCCCCCCCCCCCCCCCCCGCCTCGTGATACAGAGTAGGGCTACCTGTAGAGATGCCCCTCCAGCAGGACCTTGGCTGACAGTTTCCGCCTAGAGGAGATTTGGGGAGGCCATGGCCCCACTCCCAGATCTGCCCAACGCAGCGGGAAGGACGTAGGTGGTACTGAGAACAGATATGAGAAAAACTGGTACGGAATTAAACTTTGACTCTAAAACAACCTCACTGATGGCATATCTTTATGAGATGAAAGTAAGAAGTCAGTAATTTTTCATTTATATAGAAAAATTGCTGAACATTGGAGAAGGAAGTAAGACACAGTAAAATTAATGTAGTTGTTTGTTTTCTTGGAAGGGGGAATATAAAAGTAACTGAGCACATAGGGTTTTACTTTTTAAAAAAATAACATAGCCTTTTCAGACTTTAAAAGTAACAAATGCATTGTAAACTTTTAGAAAAATACAGAAAAAAGAGATTAGAAATGACCACTGCTAACTTGCTATGTGTAGGCTCCAGTTCTCAAGTAAATAAGTAAAGAAATAGAAACATAATGGGACACCTGGGTGGCTCAGTTGTTAAGCATCTGCCATCAGCTCGGGTGGTGATCCCACGGTCCTGGGATCGAGTCCCGCATCAGGCTCCTTGTTCACAGGGAGCCTGCCTCTCCTTCTGCCTCTGCCGCTTCCCCTGCTCATTCTCTCTCTCTCTCTCTCTCTCTCTCTCTGACAAACAAATAAATAAAATCTTTAAAAAAGAAAAAAAGAAAAACATACTTAGAAAAATCACTTGACAATACTTCTTGAACAGTCCCTATCATTTAATATTCTTCTATAACCTAATTTGTAGTGGTATAAGCTGGTCCGTTACACAGCTGTACCATCATTCATTTTTTCTAATCTACTGATGGACATTTAGGTTTCCATTTTATTTGATCTATTTTTTAAAAACACTGCATTGAGAACATTCTTTCATACAGAATTTTTTTTTGCATATGTCTAATTGATTTTTTTAGGTTGAGTTCCCAGATGTGGAATAATTGAGTCAAAGAACATGAGCAATTTAAAAATTCTTTTGAAACATATGGCCAAATCGTCTTTCAGGAATATTGAAATAGCTCTCATCCCTACCAGCAGCAATCAGTCCCATTTCTCATGATCTTTGCCAGTGTGGATATTATCATTAAAAAAACATTCTGATTTAATAGGCGCAAATATGGTATCTTATTTTTTATTTGCATTTCTGTTTATAGCAAGGTTAAACATTTTAAATAGATCATTGACCTTTTTTCCAAAACTTTTTAAATGTGGTAAGAATATATAAAATTTAGCATTTCCCCATTTTATGTGTACAGTTCACTAGTATGTATATTCACATTGATGTGTAACATCTCCAGATTGGTTTCATCTGGCCAAACTGCAACTCTGCACCCATTTACGAGAGCTCTCCATTTCCCCTTGGCAACCACCATCCTACCTTCTGTTTCTGTGAATTTGACTAGTTTAGAAACCTCAGGTAAGTAAGTAGAATCATAAAGTATCTGGTTTTTGTGTATGTGACTGATCATTTCATTTAGATTAATGTCCTCAGGGTTCATCCATGTCGTAGCATGTGTCACAGTTTCCTTCCTTTTAAAAGCTGAATAGTATTCCATTGTGTATACATACCACATCTTGCTCATTCGTTTGTCAGCAGACACTTGGGTTGCTTACCCTTCTTGGCTTTAGGAATAATGCTTCTATGAACACAGGTGTGCAAATATCTCTTCGAAATCCTGCTTTCAATTCTTTTGGATGTATACCCAGAAGTAGAATTGCTGGACTATATATATAGTAGTTTTATTTTTAATCTTTAAAAATTTATTTAAGTAATCTCTATCCCCAATGTGGGGTTTGAACTCACGACCCTGAGATCAAGAATCTCATGCTCTTCCAACTGAGCCAGTCAGGCACCCCTATTTTTAATTTTTTAAGGAACCTCCATACTGTTTTCTACAGGAGCGACACGATTTTACATTCCCATTGGCACAAAGATTCCAATTTCTCCATATCCTTACCAGTACTTGTTTTCTGTTTTTTTGATAGTAGCCTTCCTACTGGAGGTGAGGTAATAACTCATTGTGGTTTTGATTTGCATTTCCCTAATGATTAGTGATACGATCTTTTCATGTGCTTTTTGGCTATTTGTATATCATCTTTGGAGAAAGGTCTGTTTGGGTCCTTTGTCCAGTTTTTAATCAGGTTGTTTGTTTTTTGTTGTTGAGTTTGACCTTTATTGTTTTTGTTTTGTGAATTATTATAACTTTGCTTATTTTTCTACAGAAATATTCTTTGGTATGGATTTATAAGACCTTTCCATAAATTAAATATTAATCCTTTGTCATGTATAAATATTATTATCATATAATATTTGTCTTTATATCCCTTTGAAACATACAACAGGTTTAAATTTTCATATGGTCATGTCTATCACTTTTCTCAAATTTTTTTCTATTTTTATGTGTATATGAGGGTGGAGAGGTGTTTACTAACTGTAGTACTAGGACCACTTCCTCTGGGGTTCCTAGAGGGCTCTTTGGGGCCTTCAGCACCCTAGGGCATTTCCCAGGGCAGCACAATGGCCACAGCATAAATCCCCTGGCATGGTGAGCCTTTCCTCTGCTAGGCAGTGAGCTGGTGAGACACAGGTGTAGACAGAACATCACTCCTTCCTCTGTGCACACTGCAGGGGACTGTGTATAGGTGGGAGGAGATTCTCCTCTTGAAGGGTGGGCAGTAAGCTTTTTCGAACCCCAAATTGACATGTTCTTGGATACTCCTGAAAGCAGCCATCCTTCTCTCTCCTCCCACCTTCTTGGAGACCTCTGAAACTGACCCAGGCTGTTCAGCCAACTCCTTCTGTGGGCCCTCTCCTCGAGTGCTCACTGGGATTCCTACCCTACACCCTTTCAGTACCAGGGCTTGGGTCTAACCTTCTTATAAAAGCCCTCTCTGGAGGCAGAATCCTAACAGGAAAGGAAATGGGGATGGAGCGCCTGGGTGGCTCAGTCGGTTAAGCGTCTGCCTTCGGCTCAGGTCATGATCCCAGGGTTCTGGGATCAAGTCCTGCATCGGGCTCCCCGGGGAGCCTGCTTCTCCTTCTCTCTCCGCCCCTCCTCCTGCTTGTGTTCTCTGTCTTGCTCACTCTCTCAAATAAATAAATAAAATATTTAAAAAAAAAAAAAAAGGAAAGGAAATGGGGACTGATGCCTTTCCTCAAACACAGTTGACCCAGAGCGGAGTCTCTTCGACATTAAAACGGTAGTGTATTGTTGCGAAGGCTCGAAGATGAAGGTGAAAGGCATCAGAAGAGGCCAGGTGTCCAGCTGAGATGGTGAGACATGGCGACACCTAATGGAAAGGTGGCATCTTTTTTACTTATTTGCTTCCTCCGCATACAGCTTGCGGGCCTGTCTCCAGGCTCAAGCCCCAGCTCCTGGAATCTGGCCACATCTCCAGAAGGGAGAAGAGGTTAGATGTATTTTGTTTGAGGGTTGACCACTTCTTCTAACATAGCAAAAAAAACCCAAACAAATATACAAACGAAAAAACCCAAGAAAGCTATAGCAGTTGTTTTCTAATAAAAATACACTCCTGTCCCCTTCCTGTTTGTTACAAAGGCTCTGCCCACTGTGAGGTTAGTTAAAGATCTTCCTGCACCTTCTTCTAGGAGCACATGAGATTTCTCTTGGCTTTTGTGTGGGAAATATGGAAAGACATATCTATTTGGTTTATGAAATTGTATATTGTTACAGTGAGTCAATAACTCTGTAGATCTTCGATAAAACCAGTTTTATTCTGTTTAGGATGTCCTTGTGGCTTTGATATAAATTCCAGTCTAGTTCATGATTAACAAGTTTGTTGTGTTAATCAGCCTTTGACACGGGGTGGTGAGGAAACCCAAAACTATGCTACTGAAAGCCCCCCCACCCCCATTTTCATTTTAGAGAATTCTCTGAGATCTCTGAGAAAACTCGAGAATGATGTAAACTATACTTGTATTCCTTATTTCACCATTAGGAAAAGTACGTAATCCCTTCTCTTTCTACCCACATGTATAGTCCACAGACTCTCAGCCAGTAGTGTGCTTGTCAGAGAGGAGACTGCCTATAGGTATGCAGACCAAGCTTAACATTATGAAATTTTTTTCCTGCTGATCTAAGAGAGAGCTTTATTAATTGAACACACAACATTTGATTGCTCCATAGGTCGGGTCTGCCAACTACTGCCGCCTGTTTTTGCAGATAAAGTTTTGCTGGAACATAGCCATCTGCGTTAGATTACTTAGCATCTGTGGGCTTTCTCACTATAAATTGCAGACTTGAAGTTGTAACAGACGCCGTTTGGCCTGCCAAACCTCAAATATATACTACCTGACCCTTCACAGAAAAAATTTGCCACGCCCCACTCTATAGAATTCTTTGTTTCACAGACATTTTGTATTTTAAATCCGTCAGAGCTGCTCTCGGTGGTGGATCTCTCTGGGCATCTTCATTCTCTCCATCTCACTGCCAACCAGCATCCCCCTCCGGCCCGTCATGGCTACTCTGCTCCCCCCCGCCCCCAGCATCTGACTCACCAGGGCTCCAACTCTCGCCAGACTCTGCCTGGCCTTCCAGTTTGAGTACCTGTCATCATCCAGCTGCCTTGGATTTGCCATGTCTCAAACTCCCAATCCCCAGTGCAGACTGGTGTTCACCTTGGTCTGCTCAGCAATGGACAGGAGGGAAGGAGGAGCACAGGTTCATCTTTCAGAGACTGTGGGTAGCCAGAGAGATTTGCTCTCAGAGGATTTGGGTGCGAGGCCATGAGAGACGTATCTGTTCCAGTATGGAACTTCCAAATCACTGAGTGTTGGTATCTTATTTTTCAGATCGATTGTGTCCTGTGCTGAAGATGTTTCCAGAACAACAGAAAGAGGTATGTCATCACAAATCTGAAAATAAATAATCAATGCATTTTGACTCACTGCAGGTTAGTTCTTCATTCACTAACCATCAGTCTGTGGTAGAGAGTCAAGATACTTCAGGGCATCCTAGAGGAGGGCTAACAAAAGTAAAACACCTGCCCTCCTGCCCCCACCGCCCCCCTGCCCCCCTGCCCCCACTGCCCCCATGCCCCCCATTCCCCAGCATTGGAGTGTCCTCGGCCCTCATTCCTTGGTTCCAGTGACTGAGCTGGCTCTTGGCTCACTCCCACCCGCTCCTTATAAATGTATCTTGTTCCATGACTCAGATTTCTCCAGGCTCTGACTCCCACCCTTTGCTTTGAACAGTCTCCCTCTGGCTTTCTTGGTTTTCTCCTCTGTTGCCTCATACGTGAATCCCCCTACCTCTCGTAACAACCCAGGGGAACTATCCGCCCTTAGTTTCAGTTTTACCTTGCTTATTGCTTCTTAGATCTTTTGGCTTGGTTTCACACAGTTCAGAGAACACTGTCCTTTCCTGAACCCAGCCTGATTGATCTCCCAGGTCTCCAATCTCAGCTTCTGGAGCTTCGTCTAACTGGGAAGAGGGTAGGACAATCACCACACCAACCCTTTGCTAAGTGACCCTCTCTTGAAAGTTTTGTTTGTTTGTTTGTTTTTAGAGGGAGAGAGAGAGGTGGGGGGCGGGCAGAGGGAGCGAGAGAATCTTAAGCAGGTTAAGTAGGCTCCATGCTCAGCGAGGAGCCTGACACAGAGCTCTATCTCACGACCCTGAGATCATGACCTGAGCGGAAATCAAGAGTCTGAAGCTTAACCAACTGAGCCACCCAGATGCTCCTTGAAAGTACCCGTTTGTCCTACTCTTCCTACTGTTCCACGCACATTGTCACTAGGTGAGCCTAATGAAACTGAATAGTGGCAGAGGAACTTTTTAGGGAGTATACACACACACACACACACACACACACACACACACACACACACACACA